AGTCCCATGGGGCCCTACACACACTCACTCACACCCCATACTTCCCTCTCCACTTCTGCACCTTTCATGGACTCCAGGGTTCGGGGGTTTGACTGGGGTCCCCCTTCCTACCATCCTAAGTGTCTGGGGGGGTTCCAGCCCCACTGCCAAGCGACATCATCCCCAGCCCCTTTCCCCAAGCTGGCGTGCGTGTATGTGTGTTTGTGCCAAGCTTCCATTTCATACTGCAAATGTAAATTTAAAAAACAATTTAAGGCTTAAAAGGAAAAAAGAAACCCACCACTGTCCACATTCACCATATTCTCCCTCTGTTGTATCTTTCCTCCTAGTGCTCATCACTACCTGAGGACGGTATTGATTAGGACTGGTAGTATTGGCAGTATCAGTGTCCCCTACACTAATATCTTAGCTCTGTGAGCAGGGCACTTGAGCTTTGCCATGTTCATCTCTGTACCCCCATGGCCGGAAACAGAGCAGTCACTCCATAAATAGCACTAGCTAAGTGCTGAGCCCTGTTCTAAGTGCTATATATGTTGAGGAGGTTTTAAAACGTGTCTGCAAATTCTTTGGCACTCTCCCATCAAGAGGTGGGTCCCCTCCCCTTGAATCTGGGCTGTTTCAGTGACTTTCTTTTTTATTTTCCAAATGAAAATAGCAGAAACACACTGTATAGTTTATGAGGCTAGGTCAGAAAAAAGCCAGGCAGATTCTGCCTGCTGCACTTGGGGTGCGCACTCTGGGGGAAGCCACATCAGAAATCCAAGTACCCAGGGCCAGCCCGTGGCTCACTCGGGTGAGTGTGGTGCTGATAACACCAAGGCCCCGGGTTCGGATCCCATATAGGGATGGCCGGTTAGATCACTGGCTGAGCGTGGTGCTGACAACACCAAGTCGAGGGTTAAGATCCCCTTACCGGTCATCTTTAAAAAAAAAAAAGAAAAAAAGAAATCCAAGTACCCAGACAACCCAGCTAAGCTCCCAGACCTCAGCCGGCTTCCCCTGCTAGCCGCATGGGTGAGCCTTGTTGGAAGTCCAGCCCAGTCAAGCCTTCAGATGACAACCATCCCAGCCAACATCTGAATGCCCACTACATGAGAGACCCTGAGCCAGAGTCGCCCAACCGAGCCTTTCCCATTTCCTGGCCAACAAAAGGAAGAGCACAAAAACAAGATTGTTTGAAGTTTCTAAGTTTGGGGGTTATTTGTTAAAGAGCACTAGTAACTGATGTATATATACCATTTCATTTAATAGGAAGATCTATTATTCTCATTTCATAGATAAGGAAACTGAGGCATGGAGAAGTCGGTTGGTGGGGGAAAGGGAGGTGGCAAGGAAAGCAGCAAGTCCCCATTTTGCAGGAATGCATTGACAAGTAGCCCTGCCCTAAGGCAGGAACCACTGGGAGAGGACAAGGGAAAGTGGGAGAGAAAGATCCTGAGTTCCCTCCTGAATAAGTTGAGTTTGAGGGCCCAAAGGGAACGTCAAGTGAGCAGGCTAAGTGAGACTAGATCTCAGAGAAGCGAGCAGGGCTGGAGAGTGCAATGTGAACATTTAAATAGTGTTGGATCATCATTCAAGTTGTGGACAGGGGAGAGAAAGTGAAAGAAGGGGGTGGCTGAGCCCCAAAGTACCCCAACATGTAATGACTAGGTGAGGCCACCTAGGAGATGGAAAAGGAGCAGCCCTAGAGGTAGGAGGAGAAACGGGAGAGGCCAAGGCCAGCCAGCCGTTCTGGAAGAGGCTGAGCAGCGAACAGTGACTGCTGCTGGGTAGAGGGAAGGCAAGATCAGGCCAGGAAACTTCTGCTGAATTTAGAGGTGCGAAGATCAGATTCTCTCCCAAAGCTGCTGGGTCAGGGGCTACTCTAAACCTTTCTGTTTTAATGGCTGTAGCAGCAGCAGTAGCAGCAGCAACAGTGTTATGGGCCAAACAGTACCTTCGCCCCCCTACCAAATTCCTATGTGGAAGTCCTAACCCCCAGTGCCTCAGAATATGACTATATGTGGAGATCGGGTCTTTAAAGAGGTAATTAAGTTAAAATGAGGTCATTAGGGTGGCCCTAATCCAGTATGACTCATGTCCTTATAAGAAGAGGAGATTAGGACACAGCCACATACAGAGGGAAGACCACGTGAAGAGAGAGAAGATGCCATCTGCAAGCCAAGGAGAGAGGCCTGGGACATACTCTTCCCTCTCAGTCCTTAGAAGGAACCAACCCTGCAACCCCTTGATCTCGGACTTCTAACCTCCAGAACTGTGAGAAAATAAATGTCTGTTGTTTAAGCCACCCAGTCTATAGTACTTTTTATGGCAGCCCTAAGAGACTAATACAAACACTAACACACTTTTTAAAAAAATATATTGAGGTGAAGTTTACATAACATAAAATTAGCCATTTTAAAGTGGACAATTCCGTGGCATTTAGTATATTTACAGTGTTGTGCAACCACCACTTCTATTTCCAAAACATTTCCATCATTCCGAAATAAAACCTGTACCCATTAAGCAGTTTCTTCCTGTTCCCCATAACACACTTTGATTGAGTACTTTATCTATGCCAGGCACCATTCTAGGTACTACACATGAATTTACTCATTTAATCCTCACAAGAGCCCTAGGAGGCACGCATTATTATTCCTATTTTACAGATGGGGAAACAGCCTCAGAAAGACTAAGCAACTTGCTCTAGTCAAACAGCTAGTTAGGCCATTGTAATCGACAGATAATAATTGAGAATCTGCTATGTGTGGGGCCTGTGCCAAGTATCTAGGCATCCAAAGGTGACTCAGACATGGGCCTGGTCCTGAAGTTACTCATATCTAGTGGGAAAGATATGCACATTGTATAAATAGTTACAAATTAAGTAAATAATTACAAGACTGCATGCTGGAGTGAGGGAAGGGAGGTCATCTGGAGAGGTTAAAAGAAGCCCTGGACTCCTGAGCTGGGGTGGTGGGGGGCCGAGGGCCTCAGAGATGCCCCCCTCCCACTTTGGCATCCAGCCCAGCGGACCAGCGAGTTGGAAGCGCCTGGGGCTCCCCTGCTGGAATTAGGGATGTGCCTTGGGCCTTGACCATACCTCCCTTCCTTCTGCTCCCACCATATCCCCCTCCCCTTTTCTCTTTCCCCCTCCTCCCCAACTGCTCCACACCATCTTAGAATGTAAATAATAATAATAATAATAATTTAAAAATTGGGTAGCTATGTGAGATGATGGATATACTTGCTGCTTCACTGTAGTAACCTTTCCACTATCTATATGTATCCCATAACATCGTGTTGTGTACCTTAATTATACACAATAAAATGTATTAATTAAAAAAAAAAAAAAAAGGAGCCCTGGAGGAAGAAGAGGAACAGCTGGAAGGAGGGATTAGTGGCATGAAGTGTGTTCCAGGCAGTGAGAATAGTGTACAAGTGAAGGCCAGAAGTGGGAGGAAAGAGAAAATCAGCTTGGCTGGGCGTGGCTGGTGAGGGAGAGAATGACTTTAGATAGGAGAGGTAGACAGGGTTTGTCTCTTTGCAACAACATTAGGTATTTCAGATTTATTTCTAAGGGCAAGAGAGAGCCACGGATGGCTTAACACCACCATTGAGAGTAACTTTACTAGCTCAACTCTCTCAGGACATCCTGATTTCCAAGTTGGGGGGAGCATTTTATCGCAGCCTCCATGTACTGACAACAGATCATTCTAACCCTAATTGGGCTTGAGCTCCTGGGGGGGGGGGGGGGGGGGGGGGGGG